CTAAGAGCATGAAATCATTCAGGCAAGCTCTGTCATCGAGAGGATAAGATTTTTTGCACCAGAAGCCCAGTGGGAACTTGATAGAAAACTGGCAACAATTACAGATAAAGTACATTGTGAAATCCTCAGGGAGAGAAAAGGAAATGTAATAAGATAGATGGGTATAATTTTTACACATTTATGCCCAAACCACAAATGTGACTTGTCTTTAATTACTCCAATATATTAAGCATTTTTACTCATTCATTGTGTCAAATCTTTCCAAAATACTCCATATTGGTTTATGAATTCCCTTTTACAAGTGCTATTTTTTTATTTACTAGCACAAACATTCACTTAAATTGGAACTGAGAACTTGAAAAATATCATTGTTCCAGTTTTAAAATCCAGATTTTGCAGTCCAGGCAGTCAAAATTCAATTAAAAAATGCCAATGACAGGCTTTTTTAACTGCAAGAAAGGGGGAGTGGGGGCATATACAAGTGTGTATGCATAAAAATGAACATATGTAAAATCGCTCAACTCCTTTCAAGTAAGTTCTAAACAGATAAAAATCTGCTGGTTTATTATAGAAAAAAAAATCATGTTCCTGCCGTTACATTTATGGTACTTTTTTCATGTTTGAAGATATGATTTCTTCAGTCTTAAAAATATTTTCTCTTCACAAATTATTTTTTCCTTTTGGGGACAGGAAGAAAATGGAGTGATTTTATCTAAATTTACAAAATATTGATAGTGGAAAAAAATCCCCAAATCTTTGTACGTTTAAGAAAAATATCACTTAAATGAGAAATACCAACTTTTACAAGGTTGCATATTTGCTCTTCAGCCTTCATGCAGCTTTCATAAACTAGAGAAGCCTTCTCACTCTTACTTTGCTCCACTGGGTATATCAATTTACCACACATAAGCATGACATTAATACAGGTACTTCTGGTTACTCCCTTATTCCACTGCTGCATTACTGAATTCAAGATCAGCTCAAAGAAAACTTTATTAGCTGTATTTTTTTCTTTTAGTTCCTCTTGATTCAGATGTAACAAAGCTCTCCATACAGCGGCTGAGCACACACTCCCAATTATTCAATATGGCAAAGCCAACAGAGCTTAATCAGCTCACCTCATCTATTCAACAGCTGTTCATAATTAAATACTAACACCAGCGTTCATTTTGCAATCTCCCTGGTTCTCTCAAAGGCCAGGTGAAACAAACAAGGTCTGCAGCTTGCTCCAAGGGTTACTAAAGCCAGCGTTATTTCAGAGAAGCAGTAAGACGACCTTCTAAAGCCTGCAGTAATGGAATAATCTCCTCTCTTGTACTTATTTTATATGCTATAGTTGAGATAAAGACTAGGAAGCATATCCACTGATTTTTACAGCTATGTACAGTGATTTCTGGGACAGTTTTTCATACAAAAAAGTATCCAAAACTAAGCACCAGTATTTAAGGACTGAACGAAATCATATTTATATTCCTCATGGCTAAATACTTCCTCTAACATAGGTGGTTCAGTTTTTCACTGTGTTAATGACACTTGTGCCCCAAACAGTAAAACACTCAAGCTAAGTAATCATGAGTACATGCACTTCTGATATATAATACCTACTCTGCCTGTATATGCTGTACATCACACACTTTAATACTGCCCTTTTTCTAACTACATTTTATAGAGTTTTTTACTTAATTTGTCATACTCAATGCAGCACAGCACTACTAGAATTGTGATTTTTTTTTCTCTTCCTCTCAGTAGCAAGAAGTGAAATAGAAGAAATAAAACACTACTATAAAGTGCTTATCACTCTAATTACAACTATACCCTCAATCTTTGCAGGCAAGCAGTAAAAGGAATTTGCACAACCATCCTGATCACCCTGGATCGTACAATTCAAGTGGCACAAGACAGTAGACAGTTGCTGACTCGACAGGGAGAGGATAGGAAAGGTCCCCTACCTGTTCTCCAGGTAAATTCAAGAACCTCAAGCCATTTGCACAACCTTCTCCTTGGCATTCTATATCCAAATAATAGCTTTGATTTTAGACCAAGTTGCTTTCCCTTCAACTTCACAGATGTATAATGAAATGGTTACTCTTCCTGCATTAATTTTTATACAAGCAAAAAATTATTAAAAATCACTTACACAGACATTGTATTGCATTCCAAGATTCTTCAAGAGTACCCAGAAATTCTCCTGAAATTGCTTCTCTCGGTTTTACACACAACAAAATATTGTATCATTCAGTTCTTAGCAGAGGAGGCTAACCTGCAGCTCTTCAGCTTTGTACAGCTCCAATGCACCTCCTGCCCCGCTGCAGGGATGTGACCATCAGCTCCATTTACACTGAGCTTGCAGTTTTCTGAATCTCGTATATGGGGAGAAGTAAACTGAGTTTATCCGAGTGCTGTTTGACAACATACCACATAACATCCAGCCGGAACTGCTGTCTCCCTTGGCTCTTTTGAGAAATAGTGTGTGTATTTGGAAAGTACCAGCTATACAGGTATTTGTATATGTACTTTGTAGAGTCAGGAGATTTGTCCAACACTGGCCTTACTTCCAGCAATCTGGTATCACTGAACAATTCTAGATGATTTCTCTCATCTCTCCCGGATAGATTTTTTTATTATCTCTATAAGCAGGTTGCACTAATCTCTTCACTCTTCTCTGCAGTCCAAATTCCTATTCCTGAACATCATATCTAACGTCATTAAGATAAATCGTTCAAATAGCACAACTTCAGTACTGCACAATCATCTCTAGTAGTACAGCTTTAAACAGCTCTTTTATTCCCCTGAGACATAAGTTGAATTTGCTGTGAAATTATCCAGTATAGCTTTCTTAATTCCCAGAAATGACTGCAACTGACAGCATAAGAGTTTTTATGCTCTCAAATCACTTCATGTTTTCTCTCCATGTAATTTTCACAGTCATAATGAAAGGGATAGCCATATCTCCTGTATTAAATTGCCTTCATTACTTCAGCAAGTATTTGAAAGCAAAGGCTTTAATTAACTCCCTCATCTTTTGTATTGAAGCTGAGATAATTTAAACATTAATGTTTCCTAGTTTTAATTTATATTTTAAAAAGCCTACCAAATCATTTGCAGTACACTATTCTTCATGTTTACTGGGACCAAAGCTTTAGCATAGTAGTCAGATTTTCCCTTTCACTTGTCATCAGTCACAGGTGCCACCTTACAGATGCAGAAAAGCAGAGCTAAAGTCAGAACATGCAGGTCAGGAACTACCACTGAGTGCACAGAATCAGTACAACTTTCCTGAGGCACTTTGGTGGGGGGAGAGGGAGTGATGGTTCCAGTAAATTTTCAATTCTAAAACCTTACCATTTTAAAATGTAGCTCCATTCATCTACAAAAGACATTTGTCCATTACAAACCAATTTTCTGCCTCTCAAAGCCCCTGCATATGACACTGGCCAGCACTTCATTTGTCACTGCCTTAATTCTCTTAGGCATCTCCTGTCACAAACTATCAAGTACTCTCTACTATCTAATTGGACTATCCATAATACTGATGAGCTAAAATGTATGTCATCACTGTGACCTGTAACAAAAAGCAGTAATTCTGTAGTATAGGTATGCACAGCTCCTTTAAAAATGTAACTAATATTTTAAGATAAAAATCAGAAAATTAAACGGAAAAGATCCTAAAAAAGGGCAGAAAATAAAACAATCAAAACAATAATAAATATTATTAATATGAGTATTTAAAAGCTACTTAAGACAACAGGTGTAACAAAGATTTTCTTTAACAAAAAAAAAACACATCTGAATAACTCAGAGACTGCTGAATCATGAACTGCTTTTGGGCGATTTTTTAAGAGCAGGAACTTAAGATAATTGTTATAATAACAGTGCTGTAAACATTTCCAACATGATGCTCTCCAAGAAACATACAAGTAGAGTTCCTGACAAAATAACCTAACAACTGCTGGAGTGCATAGTGCTTACAAATATTTACTTTGCATAGGAATCAAGTGTTGCTTACATAGGCACAGAAAAATTACAAACATGGTAATAAATTCACTGTTATTTTTCAGACTAATGGCATTCAACCACGCTTACACATGAAAAAGAATTAGAGGGAAAAAGCACTTTTGAAGTTTACTTTCGTGTTTTGTAATATTGCGATCAGCTAATTCTTTTGCTCTCCTTAAACTAGATCATTCTGGGGTTTGTTTTTCTTCCCCTATTTGATTCTACTCTTATCACAGCAACAGGGTAAACTTTCAAGAACATAAAAGCATTGTTTCTAAAATGCACCATACCGACAGCAAAATCTAGATCCATGTGTATTTCACAAACTGTATTATAGTTATTTTCAACTAGACACATTTCAAAATTCTCAATGTTGCTTAAAACAGACCAATGTTTTGTTTAAAGCACAGAGAAACAATAACAATGTCAGGTAAAAGTATTTATGCCCACAAAGTCAACAACACCCTTAAATTTATCCAATCCACTCTCTGAAAATATGAACTTGTTTCTTATTCAAATCCACCACAATACCAAGTTTGATGATGTCAAATGTGTGCTCTGTAGCATTTTTTAAATAACTTTTTTATTATTAACAAATTTTATGTCAAATCTTTATTTATAAATTATGCTGCAAATTTGTATGAACCATTTTGAATTCAGTATGTAAATTTCTGTGTAAGAAGCTCCACCTAATAGACACAGGGAAGAAAGAATAAAACTTGTCTTCTCAGCATGGATCCTGCCCCAAAAAAGTTTACAAGAGGTTTTGTATAAATAATTTAAAAGGCAACCAAACTCAACAAAAGATTCCTTATTGAAGAAGACACATCAAAATACAGCTTTTATGTTTTCTATCTCGAAGTGAGCTACAGTTATAACGTGTCCAGTGTGTGTAAAAGACACTTTGGCATTTGGCACATTTTATATCAAGCCCCTCTTTTGAAAATTATATTGGATAGGAAAAATGTAATGTGATACCAGCTTAACAAGAGTTTTGCACTTACCAGAATTATGGCAGTAGTCCATATACTGTGGAATTTGGACTGTAAAGGCTACCAAATCTGGAGCTAAGAGAGATTCCGGCTTTCTACTCTCATTGAGCCATTTACTGCTATGCAAGTCTCTCGTGTCAGAAGGGCCTTGAATTAAAGGAATCAGCTTATCTTTTCCACCATCACCTAAAATAAAGATTAGACTCCTTACAGCTATTAATGTAACAAGATAAATTTTCAACACAGAAACATTCACTAGGTCAAAGAGAATAGCTATTAACATTGTAAGTGCAGAATTAAAATAGGAAACAGAAAGAACAATCTCATATAAACTATTAAACAACTTCCTGAATGTTATCTTGTAAATGTCTTCGCATTCAGGAGGATTTCAAACAATCAATTCTCCTTAAAATAGTAATTTCCATCCCAACTTTATAAAATAGCATCTTTAAAAATCAGCATGGACACAATTTAGACTTCAATACACTATATTTTTAACGTTCTTGACATCAGCTGTCTTTATATATATAAAGAGATCATAGACATTGACCAGAAAAGTTCCTGCATACTCTTCAAGAAAAATTCTGTTAAAGAAATTTCAAAACTATTTATCACAGAGCCCTCAAAAACTTCACAATCAAAATATATGCTTGTAGCACTAATGGAAAATGAGACCTTAGGCAATAAACAGAATATATCAAAATTATGCTACATATAACGCAAAATGCAACTATTCTGTGCAATACAAAAATGCAGTTATTCCAGTTTCTTTAATTCTTTTAGATTAACATTACTCTCAGCAGGGAAAAAAAAACCAAAACAACCAAACAACCAAAACCATAATCAATACCAAAACACCTTTAATCTTTTATTCAGTGTAAAAATTGACGATACTGGGCCCAGACTAGATCATCCTGGCAGAATTAACAATTAAAAAACTCAAACCAGAATACAAAAACCCCTCTCTGATTCATAGGAACAATGAGTAAATTCTTGTTTCAGTAACTCTCCTTGTAAAAAGCAAGGCCAATTCTCCTATACAGGCAATAAAGTTTTACATGGTCCAGCTGCACATACCTGGGGCTTTGGCACAAATTTTTATTGATCCCACGGTCCCAGAGGCGCATTTGACCAATGATGTGCCGCAGTACTTCAATTCAACATTCTGGATTGAGCCCTCAAGAGTTGGCAGGGGATTCTTAGATTTCACACCTAATAAAAGAAAACTGCAAATGTACTAGCCTGTTGAATTTAAATATTTTTATATTCCTTCACCAAGGCATTTAAACTTAATTATACTTTAATTATCTACCTTAGATGTTCTTATAGCATTTTTGTTGTGATTCACAGTTTTTAAATGGAAGTGAGAGAATGCCATATATGGGCATTTTAACACAAACAGTTACGCATAAAATATATGAGGTACTGTGAGGAAAACACAAGGCCACTTAGAAATTGGAATAAAAATATGTATATATACATATACATTCACTTTTGTTTTCACTTTGTAAGCACCACCTCTGCTATTCTCTTTCATGTTTTTATAGTGACCCTTTCATTTCAGGATCTTAAAATGACTTAAGTGTTTTCAGCTTGCATTTGGACAACAACATTTTACTCAGTAGCAACACAAAGCATTAAATCTGTGCAGCTGAACAGCACAGAAGGCCAGTGGCACACTTGCCATTTTTCAACAGAAACTGGAGTTCAAACCTTGCCTTAGGTCACAAGCGGAAACAAGTTTTGGTGGTCTTTCCTCAGCAGCCCCCATTTGTGCACACCACAAAACTACTGCACAGGTTGGAAGAAATCAGTGCTATTGGCAGTTACTTCTAAAGAGCTGCCTAGAACCGTGGAAGCAGCAGCAGGGGTTCTTACAAGTCAGGACTGAGATATGCTGGCAGAGATCAAGGGCAGCCCCCAAAACAGCCCCAGAGCATGGATGGAGGAAGCCAGCCCTCCTATTCTGTACAGCACTGCCCATCAGAAAAAAACACACACATTTATTTGCAAATTACAAATAGTTTCAGCACCTGTAAGAAATATGAAAGGAAGAATTAACAGAAGTTACTGTTTTTTATGGGTTCTTCATGCAGTCACTTCATGCAGAAGTGACTTGGAATCTGTCCGTTAAAATTGGCAAGCGGCTTGTTAATTATGCAAATGTTAGTATAATTATGGAACTGTTTCCTTGCATATGTAACATAGAATGTGTTCCAAAATCCATAATTATGCAAGGAAAGTATTATGAAATATCAGGTTAAAAAAAAAAAAAATTAAAAGCATTTTGATATGTATTTCAAGATAGTTACACACATTAAAAGGAACTTAATATATTGTCTACAGAGTGAACTCACTAGGTTTCTGCACAATCTCTCAAAGACTCAATGCAAAGAACAACCTCTAATATATATTAACTAGTAAGGAAAAATTCCTAAAATGTGACAGGAAACACCAGATTTAGGATTAAGCCTGGTAACCATGCTTAGTTCACTGTGCCTATTCCAGTTCCTAAACATTGAAATGTATTTGGTGGTCCATATAAAATCATTTGGTAAGCAGACTTCTTGATGTACTTCTTAAGCATATTTATTTAAATTTTGCTCTGATAACACATTAAAATAATTTCTGAATTAAAAGTACTTTCCAAGGTAGGGAGGGAGAAGCATAATACAAAGGGACACATAAGCATACATTCTTATCAAAATTTAATCTGTGTTCAAGCTATACCCAGCCTTTTCCTAATGTGTGATGCAGGAAGGCTTCAGGCTCAAAGAATGCTCACTGCAACCCATTTGTGTGCTTGTCACTACAACATCCCGTCAGTTCTTAGTCTGAAAGATCAGCTACCAGTTTTAGTCTCCTGAATACACCCCCATTCCCAGTCCTGCCTGGGGTAAGCCTCTTTTAAAGCTGAAAATCCCCTTTGATCTGAGGCACAGTATCAGACACAACACATGAATTTGTTAAAAGCAGATACAGTATCTGTAGGTATTTCCCAGTCTTGGCTCTGGCTCTTCAAACTTCCTATAAACTTGTGCAAATAAAGGCCATTGTGTTGAGGAAAATACACACACACACACATATATATACACAAAGAGAAGTAAAAAAAAAAAAACAACTTTTTTCCTGTCTTCTGCCTATTCGAAAACAAAGATTATAAAATACTGCTAGTAGCAGCCAAGATTATGGTCAAAGCAAAACAAATCTGAGTTCATAATTTGACCCCCATCTTTCAAGTCTTCTCAAAACTGGTAGCTTCTTGCTGTTTCCATCTTTCAGCAGCTCTTTTATCCCTCAAAATACAAGGTGTTATGTCCAATACATGTCTCTCACTTCACCATGGAAGATTAAGTACTTTTGAAACTAAATATTTTCATCATGGAGTCTCCTTTTACATGCATTGCCCTGGCCAACCTCTTTGCATTTAAGATTAAAACTTCCCATGCTAGTTACATGTGTAACTTGAACTTTGTTTTAGTATCATATTTGAAAACAAGGAACCAAGTTTCACATGACCATGCTTCCTATTTGTTTCTGTTCACTCCTATTCCCTCACAAAATAACTTCTGGACTTGTTGAATTTCAGCATGATATGCAAGGTTATTAAAGACATTTGTTTCCTACAATTTTCATAAAATTGTGGGTATGTTTGTCCTTTTAGCTGACCAGTCAGCATATTCATGTCAGGAAAGCATCACTCAAACTCGCCAGTGCCCTGTGTTTCAGTCAGCCAGCAGTTAGGGCTCATGACAGGCAGCTAGGAAAGCTGAATGGCTTGGCCTTGCAGAAACCCACAAACCCTCAATACATAATCATACAATTAACAACCACATTTTAGTGCATACGAAGAAGTAACTGACAGCAGTAATAAGCTGTTTCTTTGGGGATTAACACTTTCTCAGTTATTTTCAATTTTTTGAAAATAGAACAGTATTAGGAGAACATAGCATAACCATGCCCCTCCTCTTCAAGGTTGCTTTGACATCAAATGGCAACATAATCCTACTCTTAATTTTAACATCTGATAAACACAGCACCCCACAGTAACCAAGAAGAATTTCCAAGAAAAAGCTGAGAGATACTCAGAAAACCAATTTATTAATGGTTATATAACCTACAACGAGGAATAAGGACTTTAGGAGACCTAACAAGACTTTCATCACAAAGACAAAAATCACCTAAACCTAAGGTGATTCTCCCTGCCAAGTTACAAGTCTCTTTTTGAAATCACAGGAAATTTGAAAACTTCTAGTGAACCATCTAAAATGAACAGGTTTAATATAGGGAAGCAGCACATTTTTTTCAGTCTCTGAAAATTTTTTGAAATTATGAACCACTCCTCATAAACTTGTCAAACTGGAAAGCTACTCTACAGATAAGAATCCTTGTTTTTTATATATACCTCTGACTATCTATAGTTTCCATCCCTGTAACTTTAGCTCTTCCTAAATAATCTCCTTTATTGTCTCTTTCATGATGAGACTATCGCTGTAAAATCAAAGTCTCAACAGCTGTACAGATAGCTAAAGTGTTCCTTAAATATCTATTTCAGCAAACTAATGTTTAAGCGAGTGAAGACTGCGGCTCCCTTCCCTCCTCTCTATCTTCATCTTTTTAGAGGCAGTGTCTTCTCAAAGGATTGACTGAGCAGGAAGATGTTAAAACTCCTAGATAAGAAATACTCCATGCCTCCAAATAACAACTCAAACTTAGTATGGAGAGAACCACTCCACTTAGTTAAGATACTGAACATGAATTCAAAGAGGAACCAGAGAAATCAAAGCTATCATTGAAAACAGCAACATTACTCAAATTCAGTGACCTGGAAATGAAGCATGAGGAAGGCTTACTTCCAAAGTGTGAGACAACAAAGCAAAATTTGTGCCACACTCACTCTTCGGGAATCATACTTTCAAAAGTCAGCACTGTCATTTACTTGACTTTGCTGCTCAGTGTAGTCAAAACTGGAGAACAGAGTGATCATGCTTGTTTTCCAGTACACCTCAAATTCTTCAGTTCATTTAGTATTTTCATCAGGAGCATGGTAATGAGACTTTATGGAGATAGATACATATATCTGTCTCCACCAAATACAGCCTATGGCTGCTTCAGATAAAAATGACAATTTTATACCTGTGTTTTTTGCACTGGCAACATCTTGCCCATTACAGAACTATTTGAAGTAACAATCAGGTGTTTCTTTCCCAAGATGTTAACCGTATTTATACTTGGTGATCAAGCATTATCTGTGTTAGTTGAATCAGACTATCACACATAAAATACAACACATCTTCAAACTCCTAAAAAGCTAGATTTTCCATACTGCAGAAACCTAAAGTAGGCAGAAAGATTTTCTGCCCTAAAAATCTACTACACCTTGACAATTTACACCTTGTGCACACTAAATCACTTTAACTCCAAGCCAATAGAGCCATTCTGATCTAGAAACACTCACAAAGGTATCACACTGTTGAGGAAGGTTCTCCCACACTTTATAGCAGGCATTCACATCCTCCCCCCGACTTTGATCATCATAGCTTTGTCTCTATGCAGCCAGCATATGCAGTCTCTATCCACCCAACCATGCAGCCAGCCTGAAGTACCTGCATTCAGTGACATTCTATGTGCAAGCAGGAGGGAATTAAATTCCTAAAGGCAGGTCACAGAAGTGACCTTTCTAGATCAGTCCAGGATTTATACTAACAAGCCTATTAATGCTGAGCAATCATTTAAGACCTGTTAATGAAGTTAACTAATTAGCGATTTTTACCAATGGCCTACACATCTTTCACCAATCCATTCATAATAAGGCAAATTTGCAATGATCAATGGAAAACCAAGAGACAAAATCTAAACTGTTGACAGAAAAGACAGGAAATCAGCAGAAGAGGTGGGTTACTGATTCTGAGGACAAGAGTCAGGACTGTGTGATACCAAATCCCTGAAATACAAGAAATAATTCTTCAGAAAGATCATAAAGAACTGCAAAATATGAAATAGGAAATTAATAAGGCATGACTAAAACTTCTAGAAGCAGCTCCACATGAATACTCTCCATATTTAGGCTATGGTCTGAGAAGGAAAATTTTCAATATTTAAAGCATTAAGTAGCAATAAACTATGGTTGGCAACACAATATAGTAGAAGACTGTCTTATACACGTCAAAATGATTTCAAACTCAGTAAAAAGATGAATCCATGAATAAGCA